ATACGTGTCTCTGAAAATCCAGCTGGCTAGCAAAAACACGAGCAGGGAATCAGCAAACTGACACTTGCTAACTTAGGTTTATGAGTAGGCCCAGCAGAACTCAGATCAGTGATCCGGCACCTGTTACGCTGAGATTTGCAAGTAGGCCCGGCCCGGCTTTTCCTCCTCATTCAGACCCAGAGCCCCGGACACCAGAGCCCGAGCTCTTACTGTCTGTAAAGTTTGTTAAACAGATTACTCATATAAATAAGATTGCAAGGAAAACGTTTATCCTACTGAAAGGGTGATCGCAGGCTGAGAACAGATGGGTCCTCCCTGTTAAATCCAGCGCAGCGGCCCCCGTTCTCAGGGCTGCTCGGTCCGTCCCCGGCCATGGTCACCAGGATGGCCCCTCACGGGAGGATCTGGGACTCCTCAGGTGCTAGGCCAGCACAGTGGGACAGGGGCTCAGGGCAGCCTGCCAGGATATCACCCAGCCGAGCCCGAGGCCTCCAGTCCGTGGAGGAGCTGGGGCCGGTGGGGAGCCTCTGCCTGGACTCCCACCTGCAGGCACAGGCAGGGGACCCACGCTGGCCCCTCCCCAGCTCCCCCCGGAGACCCCTCCCCGAACTGCCACTAGAGCCCACTCGCGGGGCCGTGAACGTGAGCGGGAGGGAGATGCAGAGAGGAGACTCGTTAAGTCCTTTACCACCGAGCCCCCAGCACCCCGGGGCCCCTGGGCCGCCGCTTCCTGCTCGGGATCCCCCACTGCCCTGTCCTCCCAAACACACACACACACTTCCTCTGGCAGCTGCCTTCGAGGTAGTTACAGACCCAGAAGATCCCCCAGGGGCCTCTCCAGGCGGCGCCACCTGCCTGGCCAGCCTCTCATTAGCCGGTTACCTCTGCCCTGGCTCTGGTGGGCCTGGACTTTCAGGCAGAAGTCGGGCCTGGTGGTGGAGCCTGGACACCAAACAGAAAGCCTGAGCAATGGGGAGAACACAGCTGCTGCCCAGGGGAGAAGGGGGTGGGGGGCGGCCATGGGCTGGGAGCGTGGGGCGGGCGGTTCTGGAGGTTCTCCTAAGGCAGAGTAGGCAGGTTTTGCTGATGGACTGGACTGAGCTGGCGAGAGAAAGAGTTGTCACAACACTGTGAGGATGGGGTGGCCACTGGAATAGCTTTCTTTTGACTTCTGCAAAAGCTTCTTTGGAAGAAAGGATTCAATTGCTGAAGAGCACGTTGGGACATCCCTGACGGGGTCGCCTAACCGTTTGCAGGACCTGCCCTGCGGACCTGCCCTCCTCGGCTCCTCGCTGTGCCCTGGGGCAGGAGGGGGAGGTAGTCAGAAGCCAGCAGGGATGGAGCCTGCCTTCTACCTTGTTGTAGAATTCAGCCTGGAGCTGGGATTCCGTCCACCTGTCAGTCCTTCCAGTTGCTGGAGCAGAAAGCCAGAGAGCTGTGGGCGGTCTCCCAGCTTTGCAGTGCGAGGAGGTGGGCTGCTGGGCTGGGAGCGGGGGTTCCTTCTCTCCAGCTCAGTGGCTCTAACGGGGGGGGGGGGCAGGGGAGCAGCAGCAGGAGCCGCGGGGGCAGGACAGGGAGCAGGGCGTGGGCTTCTGCAGCGACTCCGGGTGGGCCACCACCAGCTGGTTGCATCCCGGGCCCTGTGCCTGTGGGACAGGCACCCCGTCCAGGCTCTCGGGCCCGGGACTTGGTTCCGCTGTCCCTGGCCCAGAGGCTGCAGTGCCTGCGGTTTCCCCAGGGCCCCCCCATGCTTCTGTAAGTAGCCCCTTTATTAAACTTTTCCCAAGTCTGTTCACATGTGCCACCCCTTCCAGCCGACAGGCCCTGATGTCAGTGGGGGAGCCAGCCACACTGGCAGGCGGGAAAGCCGAGCACGGAGTGGACAGCAGGCGGGCGGGCCCCCAGGTGGAGCGCTGTGGGCCCGGGAGTGAGGGCAGCTGGTAGGAGGGGGCAGGGAGGCAGACGAGCCCCTCGTGATGGGGTGATGGGGTGATGGGCCTGGGCTGGGCTGGAAACTTTGGCTTTTACTCTCAGCAAGACGGCCAGCCACTGGGGCTTCCGAGCAGAGTGACATGGTCTGACTTGCATTGTGAAAGGACCCTCAGTTGCTATGTTAAGATTAGACTGAAGGGGGGGCAGGTGCAGAATTGGGAGACCAGCTGTTAGAGGCCCTGCAGGAAGTAGGTGGGACACTCACTCATAACAGGGTAAGTGGCAGAAAGTTTCTTTTGAAAGTATGGATGTAGAGGAAGCAGTAGCCCTGCGCTGAGGAGCAGCTGGGCTGTACCCTGCTTCCCAGTCGCATCCCAGTCGCAGAAGGGAGGCAGTTACTGCTGGAGTCTGGAGGGGTGTGATGGTCAAGTCCATGTGTCAGCCTGACTGCCCAGATGTTTGGTCAAACACCATTTCTGTCTCTGGATGAGATTAAGATTTAAATGGCCAGAGCTGAGCACAGCAGATTGCGCTCCTCCGTGGGTGGGCCTCGTCCCATCAGTTGAGGGTCTCGGGGGCACAAAGCCCGATGCCTCCTCTGAGTGGGAGGGAACTGCTGCCAGACAGCCTTCCAGCTGGGGCATCACTTTTCCTTCCTTCAGACTTGAACTGAAACACTGGGGCTCTCCTGGGCCTCCAGCCTGCTGGTCTTTGGACTCAAACTACACCCCACCCACTCTCCCAGGTCCCGACTGAAATGAAAGACTGACCGAGGGAAAGCTGGAACACTGTCCCTCCTGGTCCTTAAGAACAGAGCCGCACGTAAGCCGCCTCCCTCCCGGAGTGAGCGAGGTGCCTCCCTGGCTGACCGCTGGGGGCTGAGCCCTGGGCTCCCCGCGTGATGATCCCCTGCACTCCCGCTCTGGTCCCTCCCTTCACTCACTCCTGCTACGAGACCCTTCTTCTGAAGGAGTCTGCGCTGAAGCCCTCTGCCTCCCCTGCGGCCCCGCACCCCCCCACCACCCCTGGGGGCTCACAGGGCGCTGCCGGGGTCAGGGCTGACACGCTAGGGTTGGCAAGTGGCCACGCGTACTAGTGAGACGCGTTTTCGAGCCGCTGGTGAGGTGTCTGTCCCTGCGCGGCTGGGGCAGCGCCTTGCCCTCACCCGCTGCCCTGAGACCAGTGTGTTTCTCTGCGAGGACTTTGAGGGCTTCCCAAGCGGGTCTGAGGGGCTGGGGCGCCCAGGCCGCCACCGTGTCTGTGAAATGAGTGGTGAGACGTGGACAGAGCTTTCTGGCTGCAACCAGGCCCTGCACATCCGAGGTGGCGGCGGCGGCGGTGGTGAGCGGGCCCTCGACTGCGGAGGGGCCGGCCGGGGGTCAGGGACTCCCGTGGCGTGGGAGTGGTCTTCCGTGACAGGCAGAA